CTGTATACATTTCTGGATTAATTTTTATATATAGATCCAGAATACTAGCATATTCTCCACCACGGTCAGGAATCCTGGTTGGCTCACTTATAATCTGAGTGAGTCCGCTGCTTATTGCAAAAGCGTCAGTTTCGCGACCTTGTCCGTCTTTGATATTTGAAAATTTGAGCCATTCGATATTGTGGACATTGAAGTCACCGAATATGGAAATTTCGGCATTGGGATGATCGAACTGCAGAAAATCAATGGTGTTTGCAAGTGAAGAGAATAGTGCCCTATATTGTGTATCGCTTGATGGTCAATAAACGCAACATATGAATTTAGTGATCTTCTGTGATATTATTTTGGACCACATAACATCAAAGTTTTGGGGTTCCAGCATTTCCTCTCGTTGACAGGACAGATCGCTTCTGACAAAAAGAGATATTCCAAAGTTACGTGTGAATCGGGAGTGGAGATCATAGCCGAGATATAGAAAATTGACGAAGTTTGTTGAAGCACTGCCTTTGCTTTAAGTGTAAGATTATGAGGACTATTTGTTTGCAGATGTTGGTGCATTGAAATTATATTTGAATTGAGTCCTCTGATGTTGTGAAAATCGATTTTGAAGTAGCTAATGGGCCTGTTAGCAACTACAGTTACCATGCTATTATACATACATACATAGACTTATGTTAGGAAGACCCTGTCGACTGTCAGAAATTGTGGTTTTCAAATAACTTCTGCAGGAAGCTTTAAAGATGAATTCAATCTACAGCGATTAAAATCCAACGTGAATCGCTACTTTCACACAGGCACCGTTCTTCGAGTGCCCTAAGCCGCTTGTGTTCAGTATTTGAGAAAATAAAGAGGAGACATGGTGACAGAACATCAAGAAAACAAATGTTTGGGGAATAGATATTTTGCCAGCGGTAACCAAACACGTCCAGATGGCGAAGAACATGAAATGTACCCAATACTACGCACGGTTGAAATAAACCTGCTTCAGCTATCTCAGAGAGGACACTCCTGAAGTTGTATACTGACTACATAGTAATATAGCTATAGGAGTTCTTGATAGATTTTACTATTTTGCTTCTATTCTGTTTTTACTATTTTTGGATAAAATAAAAAATACTGCGAAGCAACCATCAACTACTTTGTTTTATTTTGTCATTCGACTACTAGTACCAAACATACATTTTCGCCAACTGTTCAACACAAAACTAAACTAAGAAACATATGTTCGAACTATACTCAGTAGATGCCGACAATATAATGATTCAGAAATTATTATATCAGCTTATTATTTTAACACCTTCTCTTAATAATTACTAAATCATTGGGTCAAATTAACAACATAAAAATAATTCAACAAAATGACAAATACATAAAGTTATTCCAGAATACCAAACATCAATGTATTCCTGAATCTTTGAAATTTGTTTACATCCAAAGGTTTTGTGAATATATCAGCCGTTTGCGCATGTCAGTTGGACAATACAAAATACTTATCAAACCTTCTTTGATTTTCTTTGATTATCCACATTCAATTTTATTCTCACTTCGACATTTGTGAGTTCTTCAATTAAATATTTCGAATATATCAGTTCCTTGACACACTCTGCATCAGCAATGAATTCTGCTTCAGTACTGGATAGTGATACTATTGACTGTTTTCTTTGACACCAAGAAATAGGGCCAGCACAAAACATGATTACATAGCCTGAAGTATTTTTTCGTGTTTCAGTGTCACCCGCAAAGTCACTGTCACTGTAAGCAGTTATTTCATTTATTCCATATGTTGCGCAATATGCAATACCTAGATTTCTTATTCCTTNCAAGTACCTTTGCATGTGCTTTACACCCAAATAAGTGCAGATCTAACAAATTTGGTACTTTATTAGTCCATTTTTCAGCTGGTGTTACATTTATCGTTTCAGTTGGACATCTATTCAGCAGATAAACAGCAAATCTTACAGCTTCGCCCCAAAAACCTTTATCAAGGCCAGAGTCAAAGATTAACGCTCTCGCCTTTTCCATAATTGTTCTATTTAATCTCTCTGCTTTTCCATTCAGCTGAGGAGAGTGGGGTATTGTGGTGTCCATGATGATTCCCTTACATTTGTACCAATTTCTGAGGTCTGAGTCAAGATATTCACCTCCATTATCACTTCTTATTTTTGATACTTTAAGATTATGGTAAGCTTCTACTTCAAGTACATATTGTTTCAGATAATCTGAAACTTCATACTTATTTTTCAATAAGTAAACCATAGTGAAGTGGGTAGAGTCATCTAAAAAGGTTAAAATGTACCTTTAATTATCCCAAGTAACAGGATCAATAGGTCCACACAAATCCGTATGGATTATTTCAAGTGGTCTCACTGCTCTTGATCTGATTTTGTTGAATGGAAGTCGTGTTTATTTTGCTTCCAAACATGTTTTACATGGTTTGCCTTTTTTTCACAGTCTGTTTTACTAATATGTATTCCTGTAGAGACATCCAAAAGTCTTTTAATACTATCAATACTCAAATGACCCAATTTTCGGTGCCATAGTTCAGCATTTTCTTCTTTCTCACTAAATAAACTTTCTGAATTATTGTCCAAATTCACTACGTAAAGTCCATTTTCTTTTTTCTGTCCTTCAAGAATTTTTTGTTGTTTTTTATTGTGGTTACTTTTTCCTTTTCGAATATTACTTTTCCTTCCTTTTCAGTGATTGCATTGACTGAAATAAGGTTTTTACTTAGTTCTGGGATGTAAAGAACATCATTTAAAACACAGTCATTTCCTTCAATGGAGCCAATACCAAAACTTTTCATATCTTCACCTTTTTTAGCAACTAATACTTTGGAAGTAGTTTCTTCCAAATCATTGAATATTTTTATATCATTACACATAATGTGACTTAACGACCCTGAATCTACCACAAAATGTTTCAATGCTTTTTTTGTTTTTATTTTGCCTTCTGTCAAAAATGCAACAATGGAACAGTTTTTCCGCTGATTTTCAGTATTTTTCGTGCACTATTTTGCAAAGTGTCCAAAATTATTACATTTATAACATTTCACCTTTTCTGTGGTTCGTGTTCTGGAATTGTGTGATTTACATCCTCCTCTCTTTTCTTCATAGGTTTTGAACGCAACTGCCCTTTCTTCTTCGTTATTTTAACTTCTGGCTTCTTCAGCAATCAGTCTTGATGTTAGTTTTAGAGTGTTCTATCTGAGCTCAGAGAAGAGTCCCAAGCAGCGTTGAAATATTTGAAACGTTCTGGTAACGTTGATAAAATTTTAGACATTACTATTTCATCGTCAATGTTTTGTTTCAAATTCTTGAGTAGGTATGTCAAGTTTTCAATTTTGCTTGTGTGAAGCGAAATGTCTGAACCCTTTGTATAGGAGAAGTTGAAGAATTTTCGTAGAAGGGTGCATTTCTGAACTTCTGAGTCGTTTTCATAGATGCTGTGTAGTTTTTGATACATTTCATATGATGTTTTGCAGTTTATTATATGCATTAATTTTTTTTTCGACTGTTGTGATTATTATTCTTTGAACTTTGGTCCTTTTTCATCCAATCAGCTTTTTTCTCTGCATCGGTAATATTTTCTGCCAATAATTCTCCATTAACTATTTCCCAAATGCCTTGTGACTTGAAGATTACTGTAGTTTGGAATTTCCATAATTGAAATGATTCACCATCACTCAGTTTTTCAACCGATAACGATTCTTTCATTGTCGTGTTGTTGGCGGCCATTTTTCGATATTATGGTTCTTACTTTTTCGTCTAACTTGTTTCAGGGATTTCAAATCATTTTATATAATAGACAATGGAAGTCCGAACTAGTGAAATTCATCACGAAACATTGTCAATCACCTTCAAACAAACATCAACTACTTTGTTTTATTTTGTCATTCAACTACTAGTACCAACCATACATTTTTGCCAACTGTTTAACACAAGGAGTTACGTATTGTGGACTCAACGTTCGAAAATGGGGAAAGCGAAGTATTCGACAACGGAATTCCAAACATGTTGTTTTACGTGCGTTTCGACCGTTTTGCGTACGTTTATTCGTTATCATTTCATCGTTATTATCGTGTTTTCATATTTCAACATGACAGTCATTTATCACTTAACGCGTTTCGCTAACCAACCAATGACTAAAGTCCATGCTTTGTCGTAGGAAGGTTCATTTTGCGAATTTCTGAACGGAACCTTGTGGAACATTCAGCCTAACTTCTGTTACAGAGTGGTATCGGTCAGCCAATCATAATGCAGGAATCAAATATCGGTCGATTGATTGTGTTAGATGAAATTGAACTGGGGAATGAGGGTCGAATAATAATAATAATAGTGATAAAACATTAAAACTTTGAAAGTGACGTAGTCAGCGTCGGAGATGATGGCGTGGTAGAAAATATGTGATGATTTGTGGAGAAGAATGAATTATTACAAAGAAAAATGGCGCAACTGTCAGAAGGGCACTGAGTTATATATTCGCTAATAATGATCGGATCATCGCGTACAACACATCAAATGAAAGGAAAACGAATGCAGAATGTATCGAGAAAGAAAAAAAATGGCGCAACATGTCAGGAACGCACTGAGTCACATCTTCGTTAAAGATAGTTAAATCTCAACGTGCAGCACATCAAATGAAAAGGAAATGAATACAGAATTCATCGACAGAGACGGTAATTTTGTCTTGTGTTTCGTATTCTTTTTGGCATATCGACAATAAAAAATCAAATTTCGAAATATTTATTTTTTTAATGTTTATATCTCCCCTGGATAAAGTCGAAATACTTATTTCTGATGGATATTATAGTACAAATATGTAAAATCAATGCTCAGTTTCTTTCAACTTTTTTCAACAACATCTGATGTATCTTTTCAATTGGAATATAATCTACCCACCAATGATTATATATATTATTGTTTTTTAAGTAGAAAGTTAAGAAACAAAATTGTCATTAGATATATGTAAATTATCGAAAATATTTAACGATTACTCACCCAATACGTGGAACAATCAAAGTTCGTTAGCAGCCATTTGTTTGGATTTGTATTGAAAGAATCAGCATATTCTATTCCAGCAAGAAGATATTTCAACTCTGGGCAGATAAAAGCATTACCAGCATAAGCCCCATCAACATGCAACCATACACAAGGAAATTTTCTGCAAACTTGTCCTATTTCTGGAAGATTATCAAAGGCACAACAAGCTGTTGTTCCCAAGGTTGTTGACACAAAGAATGGAATCAAGCCCATTGTTTCATCTTCTTCCATAGCCTAAAAAAGTATATCTGTGAAAAATAACATCCGATACCACTGAATATTGCTACAGAAAAATAATTAGTTTTATATCGACTTTTTCTATTTGATTTCACGACTGTTGATTAACAGAAGGTATGTGGAATAGGGAAGGATAAATATTAATCTTAGAGTTTCGGCGGGCCACTCGTTACTAAAACAATAAAGAAAGTAAACTAAAACTGAAAGATTTCGATGAATGAAAATATAGTGCGGTAATTATTGGAATAGTTTCAATATCAGAGTATAAAAGGATTTTAAGATCTTCAAAAATCATTTGACTTTAAAAGCACGACGACGCAGCCATCTGTCATGAAACTAATAGTTTCATTGTCACCACAGTTGGATCACTTTGCCGAAAACTATCAGCCTACGGCACTCTTGATGAAAAGATCCTATAAGTTTCAACCTTCCATTCACAGAGCTTTAAAGTGGCCCTGCTTGACAATGTGAAATTGATACTTCAAATTCAAATGCTATCTATATTTGGGAATAAATGTATATCACATGAAAGATTTTTTCATGAAGATGGAGATATTGAAAGCGAAAACTTTCCTTTTCCAAAAAATCCATCTCCCCTTTCAATTTGAATTACATCATGAAAGTTAATATCTATCCAAAACAAGTTAAATTTAAGTGCCAAAGTTATTATATGAATATTCAATATACTTTTGTTATATTAATGATTATACAAATAAATTTATTGAAAAAATCACGCTAAACAAAATTTTTTTAATAAATATCATAAATATTCGTTAAACAATATGAATAGTTTTATGCCTGCTTCAAAATGTTTCTAATTTCCTTTAATAAAAAGAAATCAAAATTGGAGCTGTTTCTGGGAATTTCGGAGGAATAGACTTCGTTGAGTCTAGTAATAATTTAAAACTGGTTTCATCGTTTCAGATTACATTGTCGATTATATCTTCATGTGTTTCCTAATATTTTTCGAAGAATTCATTATTCTTTTTTCATTTTTTCATTATAATAATTTCGAAATGACGCAATTCCATGTTACCTAATGCCTCAGATATACAAAAACAAGAGAACAAAACAAATTGAATTCATCAATCTATCGAGATTATTATTCATATGGAAACGATATTTCATTCTTATTTTACCTTGTACCTTCCTTGACTAACAAAGAAATCAATTTTGACTGATCCCGGTAAATGAGACATACATATTTCAAATAATTGTAAAATATGAAGTGACTTAGTTTTTGAAACATTTAATTGATCAGGAACAAAATTGAAACTGTATTTTTCAAAATAATTTTCAAACTTTCCAGTTTGAAATGTTTTTACATGTTATATTCAAGAATTGTTGTAGATGAATTAGAAAAAATTATGAAATTTTGTTAATAGATTCACCTAGACATAACTACAGAAAAAATCAAACTTTTTGTTCACTTGTAATGAATATAAATCGAGATTGATTATTGAAAGAATTCAATTTGAATTCATTCAAACGGAAAATTCAGGCATTAGCTTCAATAGTTCTGAATTCGAAGATTAAAATATGGGTCTTTGAGTAAATTATATTGTGAATTTCAAGTTGCTGCTTGAATTTGAGTGCTTGAATTTTAACATTTCGCCAGTGTCAGTATTTTAAATGATAAGTATTACTTATTGAATCTACAGAACAGTAATCATTCATATTATGCATTAACTGTTTGTCAATGTATTGATTGTAAGAAGAGGCAGCACTGAATGGCATCCACGGTCACCAGATTGATCACTTCTTGATTCGTTTTACTTTAGTTTTCTAAAAAGTGAAATCCATAGGACACACTCGGTATCTTTAAAGAATTTCCATAAAAAACTATCCTACAAGACGATAGAATGAAGCTATGATAATAGCTTATTTATGTATCCTATCAAACTTGTTCGATTGATGACCTATTTATTTTGTTGAAATTCATATTGAATGTACAAGATATCAAATAACTTTTGTCTAATTTCTATTAAGATTATTATTTGTTTCGACCATTATATTGTGAATTTCAAGTTGCTGCTTGAATTTGAGTGTTGGAATATTACCATTTCGCCAGTGACAGTATTTTAAATGAACAGTATTACTTATTGAATCTACAGAACAGTAATCATTCATATTATGCATTAACAAACAGTTAATAATTAATCAAAAATTAAAGGTTCCTTACGGTTTCCTGAAGTGTTGACGCAGTTCCAGATACTGATTATGAATATTTTTCGTTTGTCCACTCTATATATTGTTACGAGAATGATGAGGATTGAGTTAGGAAATACTGAACCAAATAACATATTCTAATTGAACCGGATATTGACGGTTTCAATCAAATTCCATGAATTTCAAATAACCTGGTTGTTTTCAATCGAAATATTTATCTTACCAACATTAATGTTTTTCCTCTCAAAGATGACTTTTCATCGGGTTCTAATATCCTGAGTTTCACGAAACATATCATGGCTGCCTTTTCTACGCAAGAATGAGCTTCCCGAGAACAATATGCCATTAGTTTCGAGAGAAGCAGACCTTCTTCAACAAAAGGATGTTGCTGTTTCAGCCTTTTCAAAGCTTGAGCTCGGGCTGCCAACATCGATACCAGTACACATTCACTTGCCGATGTCTGAAAATGTGCTTAAGAAAATTGGAAAAGTCGAAGTTTTCACAGAGAACATGACTTTTAATACCGTTTTAACTATGAAGGAAATATCTCCAAATTTACCTGTATAACTCCACCTCCTCTACTTCCTTCTGTGAACGCTAAAAATTGATCAGGCAATCCAATGGCCTTTCCTGAAAAATAAGTATTTCTAAAATGTTTCAACTTTCATGAAATTTTACCTAGCCAGTCCAGAACAATAGTCTCCAGTTCTGTTAAAGCGGGGCTAGATGCCTGAAAATGAATAAATTCATTATGGAATTTACAGGAAATTATTAGCACCGAAAAAATGTATTATAAATGTAAATGAATTACAGTATGGAGATTATTGGAAAAACTGAGTGCATACAACATTCACCATTCATTCTAGATCCTTAGGTTTTTACAACAGAATAAGCTTGATGTAGTCCTCCTCAACAATCAGAGTAGGACAATATTCATCATGGAGTTTTTACCTCCCAGCGAGGCGAATATTGTTCGAAAAGAGGAAGATAAACCGATAAAATATCGGGACCTTCTCTTCAAACTCCTTATATTCTATACAGATCATTTAGTTGAAATGGTTGTTCTGATTATTGAATTCTTTGATGGCATGATGTTTTCCATACTCTCGATTCATTATATTTTCATTGCACACTTATTGCATGCATTATTAGTTATATCAGATCATAATTCACATTTTGATCTAGATATTGTATATCTATATCACTGTTCTCAATAAATTTGCAATGAAAGATATGTTCGTTTTTGTTGTGAAATATCTAAAGCCGCACGTAAAACCGATTGCTGGCGTGATGCGCAAGCGACTGTGTGATTCTCTTCCCTCTGGTTCGACGTTACGCTATCTCTCTCGTCACACTAAGCTCGGATACTTACACTGTATACAGCTCTGTTTACTACAGTATACATAACCAACGATTAACATTTTTTTTTAATAATTGAGGAGTGAGGTGTGAACGGTGTGGCCGCCCAAGGCCTTGTGGTGCGAAGATCTTTGGGCCCCAAAGCTGAAAATGAATTTAGAAAAATCCAAAAGTACACGTTATAATTTTTTTTTATAATTTATACATTATAAAATAACCGGAAGATTTTCCACTCTTCGGCGCACGAAAGAAAATGACTTAAAAATTCGTAAATATAATTCTTTTTTGATGAACTATATTATATTATCCTTACTAACTCATGTTAATGCCATGAGCAAATTATGACAATCTTTTCAAGAATCACTCTTTGCGTACATTTTGTGACTAGATCAAAGAATATTGACAAACTGGATTGGAAAAATTCTTGTCTGTTGCTCGTCGGTTTATTGAGAAAATCAGTTATGATTTGCCAAAAGATTTTAATAATAGAAGGATAGCCAAAAAGAAAAGGATGTTTGATTATGAAGGCAGCGATCAACCTATACCGTCTGACAAAACCCGGTTTGAAACCATTTTTTGTAATATCATGGATTCATTCTCTGTGATAAAACTGTATTTTTATACAAGTTATAGAACAATGGAGAAATCATTCTGTTGACTGATTGACTCACCCAAGAAAATCCTATACATCCAATACCAGCTGAAAGCATATCCCCAAGAATGGATGGGTAGGAATTTCCGCTGGGAAAATATGCATGAAACCTTGGATGTTGCCAGTGCGTTACTCCAGGCATGATTTTCGATTCTACATCTTCCATGATTTTATCCCAGTCTTCAGAATTTTCAGGAGCTTCCTCTGGTAGAAGTTTCCGAAGGTAACCTGGTTCTATATTAGGTGTTACTCGTCTAGTCTCTAGGTTTTCCATGTAACCACAGATATATTCTATCATTTCTTTTCCCCGGTACCTGAACTCATCGTGATCCATTCTGGAATAAACAGACATTTCATAGGTGAGTTATTAAAATATTTGTATGTTTACGTTCGAAGCCATGAAAAGTTGTAAAATAGTATGGACTGTACTCGACAGTTTGTCTGAAGTTGGCAAACCAGTTATTATTTATATAGCGGAATTTGTAGTAAAGCCTCTCTAAAAACTTTTATCTCCTTTTTTTATTGATTCGGCCGTTACTTGATGAAGATCGATAGTAATTTTATAATCAAATCGTAAGGTGTAGTTTATGAAAGTAAAACTTTTACATTGTCTTTTTTTCTGATTGATTCGGCCGTTATTTGATGAAGATCCTCGGTGTCTATTTCCATGGATTAGGTCTAAAAATGATTCATCGTTGACGTAGATGTTCGAACAATTTTTCATTTTGAGCTACTAATAAATGTAGTCGATCAACAATTTTCCTTCGAACTTCAATTGAAGTTGCTCTTGTTACAGACCGATAAACTTCTCAAATCCTGATGTCGTTTGGTTTCTCTCATATATCCCCATAAATAGGGGTCAATCTCTATGAATTTCTCCATCCGAAGACCCATCAAAGAATTATGGTCCTATAACCTGATCCCAATTATGCCTCCCAAACATTTATCGACCATCTGTTTTGGTTATCAACTTCTCTTATCCAATGGGAGTTCTCTGTTGAGTAGTACTGCATATCATGTATATTTTCCATGACATTACTTTTGAAGTGCATTTCATTAGTTCGAACTTCCATTGTCTAATCTAATATATAAAAATGGATGTTTGTTGGTTGGTTGGTAAGTAATAAACTTCTACATCGCTCAACCGATCGTGATGAAACTTGACATGTATAAGTAATTTTTCATAGAGAAGGTTTTCAGGCTATCAATTTTTCTGTAACCCGTCACTAGATGGTGCTGTAGAACAATTTTTTGAAAGCACTGTTCTATAACACCGCACGCCTAAGTTCGTTGATTCTGATTCTGTCAAAACATTGGAACAGCATCCATACAGCAACATAGTACTAGTATGATATAAATGGATTTGAAATACCTGAAAAAATCTGTAGAAAATCAAAAAAGATTAGCTGAAATATAACAATTATATTAGGCAAAAAAACTGAAGTTACTATTAAATGAAATACAAGCAATAACCAAAAAATCAAAAACTTCAACTAATAACAAGAAATGAAAATTAAAAAATTGCAAACCAAGTTACTTCACGACGGGTGATAATAGTTATCACCTGAAGACGATCGTGAATACTAACAATCGAAAAGTCTTGAAGTAACTTCATTTGAAATCTTTCAATTTTTAATTTTCATTCCTTGTTAATATATTTTTTTTATAATTTTCATCTCGTGTTAGTGGTTCAATTTTTTTATTTTTTGGTTGCTGCTTGTATTTTATTTCCTTGTAATTTCAGTTTTTTTGCTTGATATATTTGTCATTTTTCAGCTAATCTTTTTAATTTTTTGCAGATTCTTTCAGGGANATGAAATACACCACAAAACATTGTCAACCACCTTCAAACAAATGGAAACTAATATTTTCGAGGAATGGTTTGAAAACACATTGATCCCAAATTTGGATGCGAATAGTTCTTGACAACGCTTCCTTTCATTCGCAACAGCAACTACTTGAAATTTTTCATCACGATGTCTTCTCGCCACGTCGTAGACGGCCAACAAACACCTCAGGTGTTCCTATGATTTTACGAGTTTTACGACCGTTTTATGACTTGGGCCCTCATTTTGTGCTATCGACAAATTATGAACGGACTATACTTTGTTTTATTTTGTCATTCAACTACTAGTACCAACCATACATTTTTGCCAACTGTTTAACACAAAACTAAAATAAGACACATATATTCGAACTACACTCAATAGTTGGCGACAATATAATGATTCAGAAATTATTATATCAGCTTATTATTTTAACAGTTCTAGCTCATACCTTATGGAAAAACACCTTTTTGGACCTCCGATCGGAACCTTGTGGAAACCCTACTCGAGCTAGGTGTGGCGTAGTCGTTCCCACTCCTCCATTTTTCGTCATTACCCTATCGACCAATCAGAAGCTACCGCGCATACAGCGGGAAATCCAAATCAGTAGATGAACAACACCGGTAAGAGCCCAAAATCCCATGTATTTTCTTATGGAGCTATACTTTCTGCAATTTTTAAGTCAAACAGGAGTGGAAGAAGCGTGTGACGTAATCGATGCAGAATAGAATGAGTATCGGAGAGATTCAAAGAGCGTTGGACTCCGCCCCTAGACCCCTTAGTACTCCGCCTCACCTCTCGGCCCCCTTAGTACTCCGTCTCACCCATCGGGCACCCTAATGTAAGATATTGGATATGATTGCGAATTGTTGGTATTTATAGCGATTGTTTTGTCGGGACCCATATTGACTCATTCAATGCCAGCATGGCAGGTTCGGTGTTGCCGGTTGTAAAATAAATCGTTGTTTATGGGGCGATGTAGCGTTGCTGGTTTCAAAATTAAGCATGAAGAGTTAGGAATACGACCCAATAAAAATTGGAAGCGCAAAAATAATATATTAATAATAATGACGAATCAGATTCAGGAAAGAATATAACTGTTTAACACTTCAAAGTGTGAATTATCACAAAGAAAAATGGCGCAACTGTCAGAAGGGCACTGAGGTATATATTCGCTAATAATGATCGGATCATCGCGTACAACACATCAAATGAAAGGAAAACGAATGCAGAATGTATCGAGAAAGAAAAAAAAGATGGCGCAACATGTCAGGAACAATTGATTGCCCTATTCTCCCCCAAACAGTCTATTGTGACAGATACTTGTCAGATACTTGTCAGATTATTTTTCTGAAAAGTTATTGAATAGTTCATTTGCATTCGTATAACACCAGTTTTTCCCATTTTTTATTCATTCAAATGTATGAATTCTTTATACAATTATCTTTTTATATGATCTGTCACATGAGCGGAGAGAGAGGTGTGATAGTTGACGTGAAAAATGTAACACTTCGAAATAAAAATCTGTTGTTTTCGCACTACCTATTTTCTTAACAATTGTATATGTAAAACATTCAACCTATTTCGTTTTCGGTGCCAGAGACTGTATTTTTATACAAGTTATAGAACAATGGAGAAATCATTCTGTTGACTGATTGACTCACCCAAGAAAATCCTATACATCCAATACCAGCTGATCTATAAGTCTTCCCCCTACACACAATTTGATTAGCACGACCTTAACTGGATGATAGGGTGAAATCTACTGGTTCTGATTATTTTCTTCTATAAATTCACACTACTCTGGAAACTCCTGAAAACTTAGAAGTGACGCAGACGGAATGACCGATTGAAGGTGTTAGAGTGAGGGAATCATGACCCTAATTCGTTCAGCGCAAAAGTCAGTTTGCTGTTTGCTCACTTCTTCTTACTCCGTGAGATCAAATTGAAAAATTTATTAATTTTTGTCATATTTCATCAAATGATGCTGGATTTTTCTCTTTTTTCTCTACGAAAACTTTAATGTATGAAGGAGTATAGTAGGATAACGAATGATTTTGACAAAAAACCACTAAATTTCGAGTTCAAAGTCAGAATTTAACATAACTCCCAGTTGTAACTTGATGAAATCTCGAGTGAGTCAGAATTCAACAAAAATTGTTGAATTTAGAGTTAAAACTAGGAATTTTAATGAATTTCAACTCCAAACACGAAATTCAGTGAATTTTATTCTTGAGAAAAAGTGTGGTCCTTCTACGCCTTCTTATACAACTGAAAGTTAAATGAATAATATTCATGCATAATTTGAGGGAAGGAAAGTTTAATGTATTAATTTGTTTCAAGTTGTTTCATTATCAACTTTTTATATGCCATTGAATTGACCAGGTGTTGTAAGTTACTTTCTGATACAGAATCTGTACGATTCTGTATCAACTATACGGTAGTATAGTTGATGAGAAAGGTACACTTGGTTTGAGTTGCAGGAGAAGTGCAGGGCGTACATCTCGACATCACCAAGTGAACGACATATTGAAACGAGCTATGTTGTCAGCGGATGTTCCTGCAATTCTGGAACCCTTGGGTACCAGTCGAGATGATGGTAAACGACCAGATGGTATGTCTCTCATACCATGGAAATACGGTAAACCTGTGGTATGGGACTTTACTTGCGTTGACACGGTCGCGGCTTCCCATCTAGCCGAAAGTTCCAAGTCTGCTGGAACTGCAGCATTGTCTGGCGAGAAATTGAAAAGGAAAAAATACCAAAATCTTGGAAACAACTATCTGTT